GTTTCTCTGTGTATTGATGGAGAAAGAGAGATGAGTCTTTTATTCTTCTTATCCTTCACTTCCGCCTCTTTGTCTTTTATGGCGAGCTGTGTGGGAGACAGAGAAGAGTGGAGTGAAAGGAGGGAGCGAATGTGAGGGGGAATTAAAGATGACAGATAATAGTGAGGAATTGAAAGAGTTGCATAGAGGATGTGGCAGTGGAAGATGAGGTGGCACAGTGCTTCAGTAATATACCAAACACCACCAGCTTCCACCTCATCACTTCTTTTGACTTCTTCTTCTTTTCTCCCATCTGCTCCCGTCACCTCTTCTCTCTTCTACTCTCTTCCATGTATGATTGTGTTTATATCAACTGAGGTATTATATTTACTTCATGTATATTGTGATAAACCAGTATAGTATCTCAGATGGTTGCATATTTCCAAATGTGAATTTCATATACATGACTTGGGACTTGGGTCAGTCAAAAATCTGGTGACTTTAGACACAACTTGACAAAATCAAAAAAAGATTGATTTGATATCCCCCAAAAGTTGTATCATAATGTCTTCTGACTACAGCTACACTTTGAAGCAGTCTGACAGCAGCCAACCAGGCTTTGCACACAAGAGGAAAATGTATGATTGGCAGTGCACATCAGCAGACAACATTGTTTGAAAGAAACATTTTAGGACTTGATTTGTTCTTTACCTGGAACTTGACTTGGGACTTACCTGAGATGACTCTGGACTTCATAGCTAAGACTTGAAACTTACTTGTCCATTGTCTGATAGTTCAAAATGTAGGACAGACTGACATGATTCCACTCCGCTTAAGCTGTTAACATGAACCTTTTTGAGCCAATGGTTTAGTCTCACACTGCACTTAATGCAGCACGTGAATGTAAAATGCTTCATCCTCACAGAAAACTCTTAGCATCCTTCCTCTCTTATCATCTCTGCCCTGACATTCGCTGCTCTGGACTCCCACTCATGCCTCATTCATTCCTCTCTTCCCACCACTGGATCACATCTCTCTACACCACCACTTCCCATCCTCTCCTCCTCTTTCTCTTTGTCCTCCCCCATCTTCAGCTAGACCTCACTCCTCCCTTACTCTTCTTCACACTCCTCTTCCCTCTCCGCCTCTCGTTTCATATCCAGTAGTGGAGACCCTTGGAGGGGCAAGGGAGGGCTAAAAAGCTCTTCAGATTCATGCGATGCATTGCTGGGAGGTCACTGGCAGAGTTGGCTCTTTTTTTCCCCCTTATCTCAGTGTTTTGTGTTTCATTTCCCCTGCACATTGCATGCTTAATGTGTTCAGATGTCCAACATTTTTTTTAGAGATGGATTAGAGTGCAATAATAAATCTTGCTGCGTAAGCATCGAGTGTCCCTGTTCCTTGACCGCACTGGCTGTGCTTGGCTAAAAAGAAAATCCCACTCAAAAGCCAAGACAGATGCTCACATTAAGATCCGTTTTCTTGTATGCTCTATTTAAGTCCATTTTTATTGTAACAAAGGGAAAATGTAGGTGAAATGGATTAGGCAGATTTTACATACACCTTGTATTTTTAAACATTATCATCACCCCTTAATAAGGAGTACATTTTATGACATTTTAGTCCTCAGTATGAAAATGATGCAGTGACAATGTTGATTTTTCTCTTCTTTCAGTTCATTCTTCCCTATATGCGTCACTCTTTTCTTCTGTCCTATCCTTCTTAATAAAAAGCTACAGGGTGGAAATTAAATAAGATCACTTAATCAACATGATCATCAGCATATATTATATACAGCTCCCTGGACGGAGCCAGGCCATAGCACTGCCACAAACGGGCCTTTGATTTTCTCTGTGGCCAATTATGCTTGTAGGAACAAATACTTTAGATTTAGATTGAACTAGTGAAGGCAGTTTCGGAAGAAATTGCAGGTGTGAAAGCAGGATATTCAAAGGCTGACCCCAAACAGCATTACTGGCTGTTTAGGGTAAAAGTTCAAAATGATCAATTGTGTATGAAAGAAATTGAATATTTTAAGGTTTGTTGAAAA